TGTACACACAAGTTCGAGTATATATGTAAATATTAGTGCCTATCATATGGATTCTCCTACAACTAAAAAGAACAAAGCGTGGACATCTTTTGGTGCGACATTTGTTTTGGTTCGTCCGTCTGCCCACCCCGTGCGATACCCCGCGCGATAGAAAAAGAAACTGCCATCCCTGCGATCTCCGCCGCTTTAAAGGAAACAAATCGATCACCTGAGGCCACATGCATAGAAGGAAACAATAATCATGTATGGAAGAAAATAATCATGCATGGAAGAAAACAATAATCATGCATGGAAGGAAACAATCGTGCATGGAAGGAAACAGTAATTATTTACTCTTTTTTCAAATAGTGGTCTTCATTTCGGAGCCCTTCATGCAGTTTAATAATGGCTAGGGAGCTAGGCTTGCGAGAACTTACTCTTAATTGGGTTGCGAGCTAGGGATGTAGCACTTTAATGGGTGTATTGGTTGAGTTCTACAGTTGCCCAAAATTGATGGTGCTGATAAGATTAACAAACCTATAACTCTGCAATACCTTTCTTTTTTTTCAAAAAAAGGAGGGCAAATGCTACTTATGGTCGAATCCATGTTCTTTTTGTTGTTTTGATTTGATGCCCATAGCCCACAGCCCACATGTTAACTTTTAGATATGTTTGTAAGAATCAAAAGGAGTTGGCCTAATGCCAATCTTTCTTGTCGTCTTTTTCATTCTTTATATTTACTAGGTAGCGTGCCCGTACGTTGCTACGGGACAACTAAATCTTTTGTACTAAAAACACACGGATCGCACGATAAGATAACAATACTGTTAAATTAAATACCGACGTTAAAGTGACATTTAATTCAAAAAGCAAAGTTCGTGAAATTAACACAGTCACGGAGAGCGCGGCGTCGTAGGCTCACAAACTCTACTGTATAGACTTTTTCGTGATATGGCTAAGATAATATTTTATATCGGCAGAAAGAATTCTCCTATATCCATTTCTTTCATACGCCAATAAATTCATAAATAAGTTTCGCTGCATCTCCATATAATCCTATACACACAGGTTCGAGTATATATGTAAATATTAGTGTCTGTCACATGGATAATACTGTGTGTCTTAAAAAATCTCTCATAAAATTTTAAAACAAAGTATGTTATACTCATCGTATAAATATGTGTGGTTTTAGGACTATTCTACAAAGACATATATTATAGAATAAGGTATCCACTTGAGTATCTGTTTTAAGATGTTGAATTAGGTGTTGTAATTCTTAATTTCGACACATTTTTCAGGTCAAGGCAACCAATTGTGACATTTTTCTTAGTGGTGCATAATTTTATGGTGCACCTCTTGACTATCTAAGTAAGGACAAGTTAGCACTATAAATGTTCAGAAAAGCTGTTGAGAATGCCAAGGTTGAGTTTTCCTCCACTATGCATACTAAAACCTATGTTCCCGTTTATCATTGCCGATGCTTTTGATGCAAAGCAATTCAACATTACCATGATCAGATATAAGTTTGAGTCTCTTGTGAGCAATCTCATAGAGGGACTCTCATTCTTTATGTGATCTGCCTCAAGGATATTGACAGGACGATGGACCCATGTTGGAATGTCGCACAAAAAAGTGTTCATGTTTTGTTCACGATTTATTTCCTATGAATACATGCGGGTACTATGATAACACTAACTACACCAAATGAAAGATTAGAGAGAATTTGCATTGCCTCTAGAAGAATTTATTTATTAAGTTCTTTGGACTCTACAGGTAGTTTTAAAATATCCGTTTGCATGTCTTACCTCGTATCCTAATTCAAAATTTTATAGTTTAATTAGAATATTTAGGTGATTGTATATATATAATATTCAATACAAGAATAATCTATGCATGATCTTCTTGAAAGATTTCTATAATGTAAAGACATCTCGTTTTTCATGCATGCCCGTGCTAACACTACGGTAAAAACAAAAGGACAATACATCAATTAAAAAATAAAAACAAAACTCATGCTCAAAGTCAAAGAGATAAATTATGGATGCTTAAATTTTGTCATCCATTATCTACCGGTGTGCCTATAAAATAGACTGAATAAGCAATTAAACATAGATAGAAAACTAAATTAATGAAAGGATCATTGCAAGACATCAATCATCTCATAGCTTCGGACAATATCGCAAAGCTACTAAAAACTGTAACCGTGCCCTCACCTCAAATATTATCCAGATAAATTAGTTACAATGAAAGAAATGGATATCGGAGATTTCTTCCTGCCAATATAAAATATTATCTTAGCCGCATCACGGAAAGGTCTATAAAGTAGAGTTTGTGAGCCTGCGACGCTGCGTACTCCGTGACTGTGTTAAATTCATAAACTTTGCTTTTTGGATTAAATGTCACTTTAACGTTGGTATTTAATTTTTACAGTATTGTTATCTTATCGTACGATCCGTGTGTTTTTAGTATAAATTGTTAGTTATCCCATAGCAACGCACAGGGTACGCTACCTAATATATAGTTTAAGGTCAGTTTAGCTTGGCTCCGGCTCTTCTGGTAGAACACCTTCTGTGCTGGAGCTCAAACCGTCTCGAAACATATTTCGAAAAAACGACTCCAATGTCAGTTTCATATTAATTTATGTCAAGTTTACGAGGAGAAGACGCAAGAAGTCATGTTTTCTAGCTCTGGCACCTCGGTCAAAAAAGGTCAAAAAAGCTGTTGTGAGAACATAAAAAAAGTGTTGTAAGTGTTTTCATTAACAGACGATCGAAACGAGTGCAGGTGCGGGTAGTCCCCACGTGCATGCGTAGCAGGCGCGCAGCAGGATGCGAGTAGCATGCACAAGCAGCAGGCGCAGGCACGTAGCAGACACAAGCGCGTAACAGGATGCGAGCAGTAGCAGGCAGGCATGCGTAGCAGCAGGCAGGCACGGGTGTCCGGAGGGGTGTTAGCGTCCGGACGTCTAGACTCTAGCCACGCGAGTTTTTTATTTATTGTATTATTAGATTTTTTAGCAACATATAGTATTATTAGATTAGATATATCTCGGCCTGGAAATGGACGGGCTGTTGGCCAGCTCGTATGTTCATTTGCTACGGCTTTGAGCGGCGGGACATTCGCACCATGGGTTTTCCGTGGGCTGTATAACGTAAACCAGCCCTGGCACGATCTAGCAGACGCGTGGGCCGGCGGACTGCCGATTTCCCTTACATTTCTCCCTAGTCACGGGTACATCTGGTTCGTGTCCAATTGTACTAAAGCCAAACTTTGTCTACGATCAGACCATGGTTAAATTTTTTTCAAGTACAGGATATTTAGATTGAGCCAAATCATACGGTCAAATTTGCATTGCCTGTGACTTTGTTACCTCTATATGATAGTTTTATAGGATATAAGTACATCTCAGCTACCACGTGCGTCCACCGTCCATTTTTCAAACTGATTAGAAAACTCATACAAGCATCATACTAAATAAATACAATTAATATAGAGTTTGGATATACATGCTCTCTAGGCTAAATGAAAATAAACATCAGTCTTCTTGTAGCAGCAAAGTTTGGCAAAACTCCAATCCATGTGTTATGCGTCCTTAGCGTTCAAGTATAACAGTAAACCACGCTCTCATCTTCAACCCCACTCCACATAATATCTCACCTCCCAACTTGTCTTATATCACCCTCATTTTTTTTTCTAAGCAACGAGACAACCGCACACATGTATTATGCAGTTGTTAGTGTTAACACAAGTGTCGTTTGATCCTACCTATGACCATGCTAGTGTAGACTATATGAAGTGCGTTCATACTAAATATGGTCAAGTAAGATGTGGTTACATGACACGTCAAAAAACACTTGAATTTCTATATAATTTGGGTCATAAAGCATAGACTAATTATACTCACTCCATCCAAAAAATGTAATTATAACATAGTAGTAATTTAAAGTATATTGAGTTTGGCTAATTATAAATAAAAAATATTTGTATCATTATATTTTTCACGAGATATATTTTTATACTATACTTATTTATTTCATAAACATTAATATTTTTACCTATATATTTGGTCAACCAACACATTAATGGGTGGACAGAGATAAATATATACGACGAAAACATCTACTAGTGAGTAAAAACATAATTTTAGGAAAAAATATAAAATTGGTTTTATATTTTTCGAAGCTAAAAAATATTTTCTATGATTTTTCTAGGATCAAACTAGATTTTAGAGTGTAAATGCATAACTTTCTAAAACTATTAAATAATGTTTTTTAAAACAACCATAGTCCGATTTACCCCCTAACTATCGACCTAGTACGACTAATCCCCTCGTATTTGGCGTAACATCATCTAAGATGAAGGATGTGGCGCCACACAGGCTACAACCGTTGAGTATGAATTAAAAAGATAATGGTTTAAAAATTAAGAGGGAGCAAACATACTTTTTATAGGTAAGGGAGGAAAATCAAACTTTGATATGAGAAATATTTTTTTTGAGAAACTTCGATATGATATATAAACAGTTAAAGGTAAAAAGGATTTTTCCCTGGCAAAATTTACGTTAACAGTTATTAGTTTGGGCTTTCTGGGCCTATTGCGAAGAAGATAGACTAATAACACCTGCGGATGGGCCGCAAAACTCACCTGAGGATGGCAACCCAAGAAGGCCCCCGCGTCGCCCGTCGCCCATCGCCCATCGCCCATTCGCCCCTCCTACAAAACGACACGCGCACATCCACTATACCCGGGTCAGTCTCGCCTCCTTCCCCCCTCTCCTTCCCCCAATCGCACGCCACTCCCGCAGAATCCCCACCCAAATTCCCGTCTCCCCCCGATCGCCGCTCTGCTGCTCGTAAACCCTAGACCAGCCGTACCTCCGCCGGTGTTCGCCCGTGCGCTGTCGTGCCCGCGCTGCCCCGCCTCAGCGGCCCGCGGCGCCGCGTGCCAAAACCCTAGCCGCCGCCTCCAGATCCCGATTCCGCAGGGAAGCGGGCGAGGGAGGGAGGGCCGCCCCGCCGCAGATGGAGCCCGCGGGGGCGCGCAAGGAGTGGCGCGCCGTCCCCGACTCCTCGCTCCGCTCCAATGGCGCCGAGGTAGGCCCGCGTCGCCGCTCCCCCGGCAGCACAAAACCCTCACTTCTCCCACCACCACCGTCCGGACCCGCTACCCAACTCACTCCCTGCTGTTGCTTCGTATTCAGGATGCAGCGGAGCACGGGAAGCTGGGGCAGCAGGAGGACCGAGCTATCTACAAGGTGCGTGCGTCCTTGCCTGCTTGCTCGCGCGACGCGCAAAATGCAGCCTTTTTCTATCTTCAGCATCTCTCGCTGCGCGTTGGTTTCCCCCGTGGGCGCGTTGGGGATGATCGCTTTCGGCGCTGTGGGTGCAGGAAGGGGCAGGTGGACTCGAGGACTTCTGCGCCATCACCATTGATGGGAGCGGAGGGCTCAGCGAGGACATCCTGAAGCAGCGCCTGCAGAGCCTCGCGCGGCAGCGGGAGGAGCTGCAGCAGGTCGAGATCGAGCTGCGTGTGCAGGCCATCGCACACCCGCAGATCATCGAGGCGCAACAAAGCTTCCAGGCGGCTGCCAAGGAGCATGCCGTAGCTGTGGCAAAGATCAAGGTTGTTCCTTTTGCTTTGCTCAGTGTCTCTCTACTACTAGTACCTAGCTCAAATAAGATTGTGCTTCACTCACCAGTTGTTGGAGATGACTTGGCTAGTAGTACTGCTTAGTTTTTCCATGATTTTGACTTTTCTGAAGGGGCCAGATTGCCAAGCACCTTTCACTGGTTGAATTGTAGTGTTGACATTGAAAGGGCTGAACCCATGTCATGCTGGTGGAGACTGTAGCTCTGTTGGCATCCTTGTGCTTTGTAACATGTATGCTGATGGACAAATAATTTGATTAGCGGTTAATGCTCAGCACACTTAAATGATGCATTGTTGTCAGTTCTTTTTTATCCGTATAATTATAAGACAGGGTAGCTTCTATAAAACCTCACTACTATTATTGTTCTGATTTCATGTTCTTGCTGCTTACATTGCTTAGTTCAGTTCATCCAATTACCCTGGGATTGTCTGGTCCGTATTTGAAAATAATTTTGATGTTCGGATTGAACAGGAGCAACTGCATGAGCGGGAGCAGTACATTCTTGAACTAGAAATGAAACTCAATGACAAGGATAGAGAACTAAATGCTCTGAAGATCGATCATCAAACGGTTAGTGTTCTTCATTTTATGTTTTGCAATCTTCACGGTGAGAGGAAATGAAAAATGTCTGTCATCTTTTTTGTTTCTTTTTTTTTTGTCAGGTGTGGGCAAATCAAGATCTTATTAGAGAACAGACCAAAGAGCTGGCAACTGTCAGGTACTATACGTAACTTCTGCAATTAATTGGTATGGTACCAGATTTCATTACTTGGAATAGTTTTTCATGGAGTCAAATCTTTAAAATTCTATTTGACATTCAAGTTTCTGGGCATGTATGTGCTGTGGACTTGTTAAGTTGCTCTGACGGGCTCACAGAATCTGTTGATTTACTTACTCGTAGCTATTCACTATCAGCAGCTCATTTGCATGGCTGGGCCCATTGTGCTCCATTCGGCAGTGTGCCCATTAGTGTTAGGGTTAATTAGAGGTCTCTTGCTTAGGGGTCAAGTAAACCTCTCTATACAAGGAGAGATGGGAGGAGATATATCCATCTAATCAAGCAAGAAGAAATAGACCTATTATTCCAGTCCACCTCTCCTATCCCTGCCCTTGTGGTCCGGCTGCTGCTTATCGGCTGGCTGATGTCAGGCTGCTTGGGTTAGGGCCATCTAGATCAACATCCATAACATCGTTGCAATTAAAATGTATGCTGAGTGTTTCTCATTTCCTGCAGAAGGGAACGTGACAACTCTGAAGCTGAAAGAGCCCAACATCTTAAACAAATTCATGAGCTCCAAGAACTTCTGCGTGAAAAAGAAAGCCAGTTCATTGCATTAGAGGAACAGGTATTCTTTGCTAGTCATTTCTGTTCCACTTTTGTCATGTCTATGTTTATACTGTCACTACATTATCATTTTTCTTCAAACTGGACATTCTATCTCTGATAAGTGTACTGTCCTGTTTTGCATGATCTCTCTGTCAGTAGTTTGTATACCTTTCAATTTTCAAATCACTGCCATGCTAGAAGCCTGAAATGGATGCACCGTTCAGTAATATCCTGATAATATGAACCGAGTTACATATAATATGCAGCATTTCCAGGCCCATTCTGATTGCACATCTCTAAATTATGTTGTTATATTTGCTCTCTTGCCACGAGTGAAAATCAAGCTGTGGATGAGTGTTAGCCTGTGTTGTGTGTGTGTGTGACCTTGTGTTCTCAATATAATGGTTTACAGATCTCCTGCATATTCGAGAAAAAAAGGATCTTAGGCTGTGGCCTATGGCACTGTTTGTTTTAGTTTTCTGTACCTGATCCCTGAGTATTGAAAATGTCATTTGCTCTGTTTCAAAGGCATTGCCTGGACGAACCCAGCTCGCCATGGGGATCTAGTTACTCCTTGTCGCCTAGGAGATAAGGCGTACCCGGCTTGCCTTGCCGCCTTTGAAACCATGGCCATTTGAGAGTTTCTTCTTGATTACTCAGCGTTGTTGGATGATTTCTTTCTTGAACTAATGACGATTGAAGTGTTGTTAGCATTCTAAATTCAGCTGCTTATGGATAGCCACATTATTGTTTCCAGCATAGGGCTGCTCAAGACAACATTCTTTACAAAGATGAGCAGTTGAGGGAAGCCCATGCTTGGGTTTCTCAAGTTCGAGAAATGGATGCTTTGCAGTCTCAATCCCTACAAGTTGAGTTACGTGAGCGCATGGAGCAATTTAATCAATATTGGATTAGCTTCCAGCAGCAGGTAAGTTTTAGCTTTCCAGTATTCATGTATACTTCGTCGCAAAAAAAAGTATTCATGTATACTTTGGTTTCCTTTATTACACTAGTTTTTGTTATATCCCCTTCTTTTAGACTAGAATTTCACTTCCTCGTGTTTTTCCACAGTATGCCGAAATGCAGCGGAGCCTTCTCCATACAATACAACAACTCCAGCAAGAATTAGCTGAGGCAAGGGAACGGTCTGGTGCACAAAAAGATGGTCCGCAAGTTTCTCGGGAGGGGTCAGCTGAATCATCACATGTTCAAAGCATAGCAAACAGCGTGGCTTCAAATGGTAGTGCAACTGCCGATGGGAACCAGCAATTGTTGAAAAATAATGGAAGTGTGGATGCCTCTGTTAAGGTATTAAGTTATTTCAGTAAGCAATTTATATATCTGTCTATGGGAGGGGAAAATTGAATACTGTCACTGTTGTTTGGGTGACTTAATCGTTGTTCGCAGCAATCATGATGCCTTCTTTTTTTGTTTTATTATTGCAGTTCCTCCATGGCTTTTTTAGTACCTTCTGTCCTTACTTTTGCTTTACATGCTTTCTAAACCTCTTGTTTTCAGTTACTAGTATTGCAGCAACTTATGCATTTTATGACAATAGCATACAATTTGTTAGAACGTACTTATGAGATGTGTAACTATTTTTTTTCAGGGAAATAATGCCTCAGCTGTACCTGTTCCATCTCTACTGGGAATAGGTGGTCCGGCTGCGCATATTGCTGCGATGCATTCTTTTATGATTCATCCTCAAGGCATTCCTCAACCTTTAGCATCGCCCAACTCTGGCGTTCCTCAGTTTGGCAGTTTTCAGTCGCAGTCTACGATTCAACCAAACTCACATTGGCCAAATCAGCAGGTAAATTACTCTCTTGAAGTACTTTGCACATTGTAACATGCAGTGCCCATTCTAAGTTTGGAATTAATCTGTTCTTGTTTAGGAAGTACAAAATGTCTCACAACCACAACATGAAACAAACTATCAGACATCCCAATCAGACCAGACTGCATTACAACAAGGCTCTATTAATACTGATGATCTGTCCTCAAAGCCAAGTCAGGGTATCCATCCAGACCATCTTAATGCTCATGGGAAACAACAGCAGAGCCCTGCAAGTGCACCTACTGAATCAACTCATGAACTTACAGTTAGTCCATTTTATATTGTTTTTTCTGTAACTTGGAATCAATTCATGAACTTATGGTTACTCCCGGTTACTTTTTTGTTTTTAAAAAAAAAACACAGGTTGGTGAAACGAATGTAGCTGAACTTGTAACTTATGATGAGCAGCAAAAAGCCTTAAAAGAACAGGATTCATCGTCAAATATGAACAGCCATATTGGAAGAGTTGAGCACGAAGAGCAGAATACTGAATCAAAGGTTTCTATGGTACTGTGTTTCTTATACAGTTTCTCATTTATGTGGGTGTCTCACGTTTAGTTCGCCCTTTTTAAAACCAGGATGAAAGAGCTGCATCTGACAAGCAGCCTGAGCCTGTATCTAGACAGCATAAACCTTCGAGCTTTCCTCCGTCAACTACCCAGATTCACTTGAAAAACAGTGCAACAGAGAATCCTAATGTTGTAAATCAGGTTGATACAATGAAATCAGTTGCCGGTGGTTTTGGTTCACAATTACCCCGTGTACCAAAGGAACCTGCTCTCCTAGATGAGAGATCTCTATTGGCTTGCATTGTACGTGCAGTTCCTGCTGGACCTGAGGGTGGAATCAGGATTAGTTCAACTGTGAGTTATTTCTCATCCACATTAAGATGCTATGGTAGAGAATAAGTTCTGATTCATGTGCAATTTTTCTCTCAGCTGCCAAATAGGCTTGGGAAAATGTTGGCTCCTCTTCACTGGCATGACTATAAGAAGCAATATGGGAAGCTTGATGATTTTGTGGCTAGTCATCCAGAGGTTTACTTGAACTTAGCAATTTAGTCAATCTGTAGATACTAGATCGTTTGTGTTGCTGACAAGCTAATTGCCTTGCAGCTGTTTGTGATTGAGGGAGACTTCATTCACCTTCGTGAAGGAGCACAACAGATCATTTCTGCTACTACAGCTGCTGCAAAAATAGCTGCTGCTACAGCATCTTCTTCCCCTTACTCGTCCTTGCTGCCTTCAGTTGCCGTTACTCCTGTGGCACAAAGCACTCGGCAAAAAAGGGGGCCTGCAGTTGATTCCAGATATACAATTCCCTCTGGAAATGGCTTCACAGATCAATTTAACATCATTCAGGGGGTTAGTGACGTAACAATTTCAGGCAAAGTAAGAAACACCCAAGATAATGGCTTCTTAGATGAAGTTCGAACTGGGCAACCATCTATGCTCACAGCTGCTGCCAATGGTGCAAGACACGACAAAGGTGCAAATAATATCAGACATGGTTATGGAGGAAAGCAACAGGGGAGGTATGTTTCCATTCCTCATGTGATGTCAAAGCTGACACATGTTTTTAGGATGCTGATGCAGTGCAAATCTTTTATATTCCAGGTCAACTGGGACAGCATACCTTTCCAGAAGATGAAGTAGCTTTCACTGGGTACATGAACCATATTCTTTTGATGGCCTTTTATACCCTGCATGATGTTTGCACTTTGAGTTTCCAAATTTACCTGCTTCCTTTTTTTTTTGACTGGTTTGATGACCTTAACTTATCAAAGACTTTGAATTAACTTATGGTAGTATCACATTACAGTATTATGTAGTTGGTGTTTTGGAATACTCCCTCTGTCGGCCTGTCCTGAAATATAAGGCATGCACTATTCATCAAACTTTGTTATCTTTGACCAACAATTGTCTAATCATATGACAAGTTTATACTACTAAAGTGATTACAATGGATTTGTATTTAGAAATACTTTCTAATGATCAAAATTTTTATTGACGTAAATTACATATACAAGAGATTAGTGGTCAAAGTGTGATCTTGAAGATTGTCAAGTCAAATTGCGCCTTATCATTTGGGATGGTGTATTTGGTTCTACACCATTTTTTAAAAATCATTGCAATTTTTAGGCCAGTCTGTCTTACTTGCCTAAGACTTAAAAGGAGACTTAGAAAGGATGGAATATACCCAAAGACTTAGCCTTAGATAGGAGTGCTTGGAAAACAGCTATTCACGTGCCTGAACCTTGATTGCTTCTGTTGGGTTTCAACTCTAGCCTACCCCAACTTGTTTGGGACTTAAAGGCTTTGTTGTTGTTGTTGTCTGTCTTACTTGCCTTGCTATATCATATTATAAAATGTCTTGCAGGAAGGCAAAAATTAGTTTCCGTATTTGCAACATCCACTGGTCTTACTTACCTTGCCTAATCATATTATCATGTTTGTCATGAGGCTTGTGTTTGTGTAATACTCCCTCCATTTCAAATTGTAATACTCCCTTTGGCTTTTCTAGACCAGTGTATATCTAGATGCATAGCAAAAGCTATGTATCTAGAAATTAGAAAAGCCAAAAATGACTTACAATTTGGAATTGTGGGAGTAGCTAATAAATACTGTCTGCATTTTTGCAATATCGACCGGTCTTGCATTTACATTAAAGATACTGCTGCTACAATAGATGTATACTACCACTCACCTCTGCATCAAGCTGAATTACATCACTATTTTGCTTGTAGATGCTATTGGTTTTTGAGGGTGGTGATGCGGTTGGAAACCATATAAGTGGCAATGTTTTGGCTTCGAAATGGTCGATGCTGAAGATGACTTGGATTAAAATTATTCTAGATTTATTTTCTTTTGCACCATTGCTCTTCACAGCGCCTTTTTGGGGGGCCTTGTTTTGGCAAAGCTGTACTGATATCCCTAGCCCAAGAATCAGAAGCCTGCTGAAGTTTTGCGACTATGTAACTCGTCTGTGCTTGTATTGTTGTGCACTTGGAATGATGTGAATGTTATACGGATGTCCTTCAGCGTGAGGTCTCTGTGAAATGTACTAACATGATGAGCTCGAGAGCTGTGGTATGGTTGAGCTGGACAAATGCCCCTAAGGCCCTAGGCGCTGCCTTTGGACCCTGTTATTATTTACAGGTGATATTGGCCTTTGATCGCATGAGCTGACTTCCAGAAATCGTCGCTGCAGTAATTATGACAAGCATCAACAGAGGTACCAGTTGTCGGTCTTTGGAGCAGGATCACAATGACAAGCTACAGTAAGATTATGACAAGCATCAACAGGTACCGGTTGGTGGTGTTTCGAGCAGGATAACACGGTAAGTGCAACAACAGGAGCCTAAGAGCCTCTCCAGCGGTAGGAGGAAACTCTAACCCAAAAACTAGTTATCAGGGAAAATACAAAACTTGTTTTAAGATTTTGAAGGTTCCCCAATAAGAAAAATAGTGAATTGGGGGGAGGAGAGGTCTCTTCTTTATTTGAGGGGTGGAAGGCTATGATTTTAGGGATTGAGAAAAAAAATTTCTCATTGGGTTTAGGTTTGGAGAACTGTAGGAACTATAAGATCTCCAAAATAACATTGTTTTTTCTCGTTAGGGGGTTGGGAAAGAGGGACTGCTCGAGATGCTAAGTCTCTACTTTATGGGTGTTGAGACAAAAACCCACTGATCTACTCAGGCCCCTTATTTAAAATTTTTCTTTTAAGTGTGTCGCGCTGCTCCATAAATTTTACTCTACAAACTCCACTTCTATAAAAAAAAAACTAGAGTTTCTAGAGCAGAGCATCCTTTTAGTGCTCTTCAAACCCGATTTTTTTAGCAGGGCTACACCTGTTTGGCTAAAAAATATGGAGCAAAGCTGAAAAACATATAGCGGAACAGTTTCAAATAGGTCTTAAATTTAGAAGTCATTTAAGATTTTTCCCATGGCCTCGATTCTTGGGTGTCTCTCCAGGCCTCTATTTTTCTTTTTTTGCTCGTTTTCCCTCCCATTCTTGCTCGGATGTCGGATCCTTGCTTGTGCTCTCAATCGCCGCTCGCCTCAGATCTGCTTGCTAGGCGTGTCCTATCCTTTCCCTGTTGGCTAAATTTAGGCTCCTGGCCTCAACTGCTGCTTTGCCCTCCCCGTAGCCTCCACCGCCGTGCCCTCCCCTCCGCTTGATCTTTGCCCTCAACAATCATCGCCATTGCTGTTGTCTCTTCCTTGGTGGCAGACCTACTTGGGCTCCACCTCCACAAAGCTTCATCTCACTATAGTTGCATCCTTCCCGGTGGCGGAATCACTCGTCCTCGGTGCCATCTTGCTTGACCTTAGCCTCCTCATCGCCTCCTTTGCCCACGCATGCTTGACTCCCCGATCACTTCCTACTAGAGTTCGACCTCTTCCTAGAGCACTCGAGCATGTGCCACACCACCGCCAAGTTCTTCATGAGCTAGGAGGTAGATTGGCAGGCATGCGCCACCACTAGCCCCTACTACTCTTGCAGAGGAGGCGGGCATGCGCTGCCATTGCCTCTTGTCCTTTTCGAGCAATGTGGCAAACTGACAGGTGTGCGCTGTCGTTGGACCCTCTACTCTCCTATATGATCTGACAAAAAAAATTATGCAACTTGCTGAGCATCCGGGAAAGCTGAGCACATGTTTATCAACAAATGATGAAATTGGATATGCTCTTAGGACATTGGCATGTGCAATTACGTTTAATTCTAATTTTGGTTGAGGCATTTGGGTTGCACAATGATGAACTACTCTTTTTGACCGAGATAATTGGATTGTGCAATGATGAACTACTCTTTTTGATTTACAATTGCTAACTATTGTTCTTATAAGCTCAAAACCGTTGCCTAAGATGTCTTCTGAATTTGAATTGTTCGGTTTGAACTCCAAGTTGGACGAACCATTTCACCAAAGAGAGCAAAAATATAGTAAAATAGAAAGTAGAGTTGATTTGGGGTTATTTCTAGAGTTGCTCTAAGGGTATTAGAGCTAATCTCATTGGGCACAGTTTGATATACTAAGTCCGCTTGTAATTAGCGTGCAGCCATAAGCTTGGGCGCAGCTAACTTCGGTACCATCAAGACTTTTCCAGTATTTGTGAACAATCAACAGGCAAGACGATCGGACCAATGAGATTGGGGGCGTCTAAAGCTTCGATGGCCCTTCTCTGGTGGCCATCGAACTTTTCTGGTGAGTGCAGAGTTTTTCAAAGGTTTGCACTTGCTTCCTCACCGTGTCACAAGATCTAACACATATGCTATGTTAGTCCTCACCTAGTGGCACTTAGACAACCGTATTAGCTTAAGAATTTCCCTCTTAATAGTACAACTATGTATCCTAAATCTGGTCAATCACTTCTCTACTCACACTGACCGGTAAAAGCAAAACCCTACTAGCTTATACCTTTTCCTTTGGGCCTCCGCTCATCCTTTTGATCCATCCACCATCTTCAATCTCCAAACACCATTATGTTGAACACTTGTTCTTGTGGACTACACCATCTCCAACATTGTCTCCACCTTGCACAACACCATCTCATGGACCCTATTTTAAGCATCTCCATGAAAGCATTAGTCCACTAGTTGCCACACAATTACCAAAACCAACCTTGTTACTTTCAGCTAGTCAATAGCCTCAAATCAAAGTGGTTCATCAAATTTTAGTAGCCCTCATGAACATTTATATTCTATGCTACACTAATTAAAATGTAGAAACTAAATGGACCAAACCATCACAAGAATCAAAAGCAATCTAAGGAAGCAAAACAACTACAAATTAAATGGGTCCATGGGTTGTAACCTTAAATTACCGGTAGCAAATGGATTCACCAAAATTCCGATGCCATCATGAAGAATGTATCTAAAATGGAGAGTTGATGTTAGGGCATGTTTGGATAAACTAGGACTAGTGATTAGCTAACTAGTAGTTAGTTGACAAGTGATTAGTTCAGTGTTGTTTGGATCCCTAGGCTAATAAGTACTAGTATCTCAACTAAAAGTCGTTTATACCCCTGAGCATCCAGCCTCCTGTTGTTCCATTTCACGTACCACCGCCTCTCCCTCTTCTCTCTCCACCTTATCCCTTCTCACGTCTCACTCTTCGCTCTACTCCCGTCCCCATCTCTCCTCCAACCATGGGCGTTCCTCGGCCTTGCCCCTGCCCACCCCGTCCGCCACCGGCGCTCGCTCCTCCCCCCCCGTGCGCCATCGGTGCTTGCCCCTCCCCGCCCCGTCCGTCAGCGACGCTCGCCCCGGCAACTGGCGCTCCCCGGCTCGCGGCAGAGTGTCAGCCCGGAGCGCCTCCACATCGAGGGACCGCCCCCGAGCGAGGGCCACGGCGGAGTGAGAGGCAGCGCGGATCGACAACTGCGGCGTGGATCCATCCTCCTCCACTGCCAGGCATGTTTGAGAGAGAGAGAGAGAGAGAGAGAGAGAGAGAGAGAGAGAGAGATGGAGGACATGAGACGTCTTTTTGCTCATTGAGGACCACTTTTAGTTCTCGATAGCTCGCTTTCTTCGACTAGTGAACTAGTGATTAGTTTGCTATCGACTAACTGTTAGTCCGACGCTTTAGCCGGTCCATTTGGATCCCATCCGACTAAACTTTAGCGGCTAACTGTTAGCTGGAGGGATCCAAAC